GACGGTCGAAGACAACGAAAGCTGCGAAAGAGAAGGAGGATCGACGGGGTTCCCGACGAGTGTAGAAGAAGGCTCGTGTGCGATCCGAGAAGAGGCCCGGCTAACAACACCAGGAGAGTCTTGACGAATAGTAGAAGACGACGTTCTTGTTCCTTCTGTAACCCGAGACGACGAGGTGAGCAGGGATGAACCTGGCCGAGAAACTAGATGTGATTGAGGAGCGTGGGGAGTATCCAAAGAAGGCTGTACACGAACATCTTGGGAGACTCCAAAAGGCTGCACGGTGGTTGCTGTTGACGGTACTACCGGCTGAACTCCGCCGTTGGCTTGTCATATCTTACCCCTCCAGCCCCTTGTAGCCGAAGTGGAAGTCTCCGACGAGAGCTCCGTGTGTGAGGACTGTTTCGTGTCCGATATGGCAGATGAGCGGCGGGCGCATCCTGAGGAGTGATTTCGGCATGGATTGCCTTCCTGTAGGGCGTCTATACGAGGTCATGCGCTTTTTCCACCGACCCCAAAGGGTGGGATCTTTTTCCATACAGAACTTGATGTCATTGTTAAGCAAGCCGGTGGCGTTCACGAAACCACGATTACAGGATTTGAAGGAGTGGTCTTCTCCTAAGCAGTTGAGGCACTTGCCCTTGTACAGTCGAAGCGCGTTGCGGCGCTCTTCAGCCGAGACCAAGGGGGTGAACAATGGCGGATCATTCTTGGTTAGAGCCATCTCACTAGCGACGTTGTACACCTCTTGGAAGTGTTCTTGCAACGGCCAGTCACTGTAATGCAACAGAAAAGGGTCCCGATCATCATTAGGCAGAGGGTCAACACTCATCACGGCGGCCGCAGAGCCCTGGCTCCACGAAGGGGTCACCGTCGAACGCAACGCCGAAGAAGCTACAGCACGCGAAACAGCAGACGAACTCCTAGCGTTCGTGGAAGATACCGAAAATAAATAATCTTCATACACCGCCGGCGTGTGCGCGAACGCACGCTTGTCCAACACATCCCACATATCATCCAGACACGAAGCATGTCGCCCAAAAGGGGCTTCCATGGAGAGCTGCTCATCCTTGTACACCTGCCCAGACACTACCGGAAACTGCTTCAACATGGAGTCTCGAACAGCTATCTGCACGTGCGCATCCGAAGGCTTGAACGCGTGGTGAGAAACCATGACGGTCATGGCCAGAGTCTTACAGCGACGAATGCATTCTCCGTAAGTCTCGCCGTTGGATACGCCAAAACTGCAAAGACGATCAATCCCCGAGCTCTTCTCTTGAATGTCCCAGGCAGCTGCCAATTTCTGGATGAAGAAGGCGTACGTCGAGGGCACTGCCGGTTCCTTGCGCAGATGGTTTTGTACCTGCAGGAAGGTGGCATCAAGAAATTCCAGCGTGGCACGGTTGGTGGTTTGGCCTTCAACGACAGAAGCACGGACACGTTTGCGCAACAACGGAAGCCATCCGGTGACCCAGGTGGAGGAATTGAAAGTCTGCTTGCGCTTGACGTCGCTTTTGTTGAGGACCTCTGTGACCACACCCTTGCAGCTAGACGCGAAACGAGCAAATTCATCAGGATCAGGACCGAGGGGGCAAGCGTGTGACACTATCAAGTTGTTACGGATTCAGCTTGTTCATCTTGTCTTGAATGCGGATGGTGTCGGCCTCCGCTGCAGCGGCGTCCGTAGCGTGCAGCGCCTCCTGCCTCGCTCTCGCTCCCGTGGAAGACAAAGGCAAACCAGCATCGTCCTGTGGCAACGGTGATTCCGCTTGACTCGGTGGCTCGACGATGAGGCCGGTTGCAGAGCTAGGATCAATCAGAACAGACGCACGCTGGAGGGGGGGGGCGATACCACCAAAGGCTGTTGCAACAGGGCTGGGGCTGCCGACGCTGACGGTGCCACCGCAGGATCGACCGGTACTGTCGCCGGCATCGTGGCGGACGACGATAATCCTGACGTGGCGCTGGCAGCGGTTTCGGCACGAACATCGCGCCCTACAGGAGCTCCCGAAAAGCTCGAAGCGTGATTTTGCAGCGGTGTCAGATGCATTCGTGGGGAAAAAGATGGGGCAGGTGGTGGCACGCTAGGAGCGTGGGAGGGCACAGGAGGTTATACATTCGCGTCGGCAGCAGCATCCACAACTTGATTTGCTCGCAGGAGAGTGAGTACTTGTTCCAACAGCATTTCAGTACGGGAAGCCGAAGTCGAGGCGTGTGATGCAGCATGGCGTGGTGACTCAACACGTTCGGAGGCAAGGAAGATGTGGGATGATCCATAACGGCATGGGCAGGGGCATGGCTTTTCACAGCGGCTGAATGTTCACGAAGTTTCATGTTGGTAAGTTTGAACGCCAAAGAAGACATGGTCGGTTGGCCTACATCAGCGGGCGGGCGTAGAAAAAGCGGTGAAGAACAGAAGGAACCGTCTTCTGAAGCATCCTTGTTTCCCCCCAACAACCCAGAGCTACGAAAACCACCCCGATCATGCATCATTTGCCTGTTACCGTGGCCTGACTTCCGTCCCCCTTTTCCGCCGCGACTACTGTCAGTACTGGTCGCCCTACTGTTGCCCCCGCTCCGGTTCTGGCTCCGGCTGCGGCTACGCCTAGATGAAGGCGTGTTTCTCCCACGACGGTCTCCGCTCCGGCTGCGCCCACGCCTAGACGAAGGATTGGTGCGCTGTTGACGTTCTGCGCTCCGACTCCTGCTCCGGCGGTGGCGGCTCGCCGGCGAAGAACTGGTAGGCTGGGTCCCCACGGATTGCCCTCACCCGCCATCTCCGGTGCCGCGCCCTCGCGAAGACTGGGTGGAGCGGCGGTGGTCGTCCGTCCCGCTCTTGGCCGTCGCATCTTGGTCACCCCAACGGTTCTTCTAGCTCTTAGACGCAGGAGCCGCCGACCGACTGTAGTCCTTGTCCCCTCCAGCACCATGTGCAGGGCGTGAAGAGACCTGCCGGGGGGCGTGCAGATCGTGCTTGAAATCGTTGTTTGAGGCAGCACGAGCAAGAGGCAGCTGGAGTCCTCTATCTTGGGTCACCACCGACGTTCCTTGAGGACCGCTCGTAAGTGAGGCACGACGGAGAGCGAACAAAAGCCGGAACACGGACTGCCGAGGANGCATCTTGGTCACCCCAACGGTTCTTCTAGCTCTTAGACGCAGGAGCCGCCGACCGACTGTAGTCCTTGTCCCCTCCAGCACCATGTGCAGGGCGTGAAGAGACCTGCCGGGGGGCGTGCAGATCGTGCTTGAAATCGTTGTTTGAGGCAGCACGAGCAAGAGGCAGCTGGAGTCCTCTATCTTGGGTCACCACCGACGTTCCTTGAGGACCGCTCGTAAGTGAGGCACGACGGAGAGCGAACAAAAGCCGGAACACGGACTGCCGAGGAGAAGGCGGAATTTCCGCGATGTAGGGGGCAGAATAAATGTGCCCGAAAGCAACGGTGTGAGAGTGGGGAAATTGAGCACGGACGAGTTGTTTGACTCCAGCCCATGCAAAAAGAGCTGTCAGTTTATCCTCATCGTGGAAAGTTACGTCTTCGGCTGGCATCTCCAGTGGGCGGGACAGGAACGCCGTATCGCCAACATAGAACTTGTACCCTGCGGCTGCGGCCGCAGTCGATGCCCCGTCTTCACCAGCCGGACGACCCAACGTCACCGAAAACTCCGGAGTAGCCGCCACCTCCCNCTCCAGCCCATGCAAAAAGAGCTGTCAGTTTATCCTCATCGTGGAAAGTTACGTCTTCGGCTGGCATCTCCAGTGGGCGGGACAGGAACGCCGTATCGCCAACATAGAACTTGTACCCTGCGGCTGCGGCCGCAGTCGATGCCCCGTCTTCACCAGCCGGACGACCCAACGTCACCGAAAACTCCGGAGTAGCCGCCACCTCCCGTCCGTTCTCCTTCGCCACAGAGGCACGCTGCGATTGCAATTGGGGGGGGGCAACAACACGACGATGGGGAGAGGGCGAGGGCAAGGCCGCTGCGTGCGGGCCATGGGGGCGGAACTCGAGGTGGTCCAGCCGTGATCGGAGCGCCCCCTGCTTCGCCATGGCAGCTTGGACGTACGCCTCGCGCTCTGCCAGCTCAGCTTTACGATCCTCCTCCTGCTTCCGGGCTGCCGTTAGAGCAGCCGCACGCTCCTCCTCCTGTTTCCTCGCCGCAGCAGCCAGAGCAGCCTCACACTCCTCCTGCTTCCTCGCAGCAGCAGCCAGAGCAGCCTCACGCTCCGCCACGCGCTCCGCGTCCTCGCGCTTCGCCTGCTCTCGCGCCTCCGCCTCTGCTATCTTCCCGGCAAGACTGTTGCACCACATCTCGTTCAACTTTTGGTAAGCCATAAACTCATTGTGAGGTAAGAGGATTAGTTTGTCTTCCGGCGGGAGCGAGAAAGGGGGGACGAAAAGGGGGGAATCGGACGACAGACGGGCCGCCCCGGCAACATCCTGCAGAGAGGCACGTCCTGCGTTATAGGCCTCCTCCAGGTCCGCCGGATCCGCCGTGGCGATGTTGGCCAGCAAATTATCGACGGTGAACACGATGGGCATGGGACGGCTCTCGTCTCCCGCACCGGCCGCTGGAAACCGCTCTGCGGTGGGAGCCTCGCCCTCGGCTTCGTAATCCAGGATTTCCACATTGTCGCCCAGTAGTTCAACATTGCCGCTGGACATGTTGTCCTCTTCTTAATAAGAACAGCGCCAGAGAGAGGGTAGCTACGATCGATTGTGGAAAGGGCAGCAGGGCCAGAAACAGCAGATGTAGCATTACCAACCGCAGTTGAGGCAGCAGAACCAGTAAAGCTGGGTGCAACTTCAGGAAAAGCATGCCGAGGTCCNCGGGTGCAACTTCGGGAAGAGCAAGCCGAGGTCCATGCAAAAGGCGGAGATATCCACAAGATAGCATACGCCCAGTGATAAAAGCTTGGTGCACACGAGGTTGAAGCGGATCCAACCAAGCAGAAAAAGCGTCCAAAAGCACACCATGCCACGCACAAACAGCAGTAGAAGCTAGCACAAAAGGACTCGTGTTAGATGGAGACACGAGGTTTTCCGACCAAAAGGCACGCAGAGCAGCACGGCGNTTACCAACCGCAGTTGAGGCAGCAGAACCAGTAAAGCTGGGTGCAACTTCAGGAAAAGCATGCCGAGGTCCATGCCAAAGGCGGAGATACCCACAGGATAGCATACGCCCAGTGTTAAGAGCTTGGTGCACACGAGGTTGAAGCGGATCCAACCAAGCAGAAAAAGCGTCCAAAAGCACACCATGCCACGCACAAACAGCAGTAGAAGCTAGCACAAAAGGACTCGTGTTAGATGGAGACACGAGGTTTTCCGACCAAAAGGCACGCAGAGCAGCACGGCGTTCCTCCGCAACTGGTGCCGAAGTGCGAGCAAACACCGCTGTGGGTTTGCGCTGTTGAAAGGTTTCTAATTCAAATGCTTTGAGGGTGAACGATTCCCCCCCAAAAATGCCATGTGATTTCGAAAAATGGAGGGAAGGCTGGTGGGACGGCTGACACCCAATTCGTGTGCACACAACGCGCTCCAAGTCGAAGTAAGCGGAGTCGAATCGGAGAGCACAACAGGAAAATCCGCGGACATCGGCCGGTACGCCGGCATGAACGCAGTAGAGGTGGTGGCAGACGAGGGAAGCATGCTGTCATCTCGGGTCCCACTTCACAAGGCCAGCAACTCAGGTCGCTCCATGAAGAGCGTATCCTCCACAGAAATCACTTCATGGACCGCCGATGCAGACAAAACAGCTTTTCAGGGACGGCGAACGTACGAAAAATCACCCAAAACATCGCGATGGCCCCCGAGGCGCGTATCTTTTGCAAGGTCCCAGTCCCGCGGGCGCTTCGCAAAAGCATCACAAGCCAGCATCTCTACAGGAGAGGAAGCAGAGAAGAGGCTAAGTCTAGATTCTCGTGGGTGGCGAGACCAAGTAAGAAGCAACCCAGTGGTTGTGAAGAAAGCGTGGCAACAACACACTGCAGTGTGGAAGCCGCGTCCAGCACCCGCGCACCATATCCTGGCGCTGATGCCAAGTTTAAAGGAGGTGAAGCCGTGGGCGGTAGCTTGCTCCTAGAGTTAGGTGAAGGTTCTGTCGTTGACACGCTTGTCCACGACCACGTTGAGATGGGAAAGTTGCTTGTTGTTGCTGAGAGACGACCAGCAAGGGCCTGAGATGGAGTAGGCATCCAACTTCATCTCAGGGAGTACACAGGGTAGACAATTCTAAGGGAGTAGGGGTCTGAAGGGTATATACCTCCTGACCGACCCGCATCCTATCAACAATAAGATGTACCCTATTCATGCTAGCAGCCACTCTCCTTAACATGTTCATATATTTGGACGCACGAGATTGAGTCTGTATGTGCATAAGACTATGTGTGTGTACTCGCCGACCGTGAAGAAGTGTGTATCCTCACGAATAAATCGTTTTCCACCCAGAAAATCCAACAACTCACAATAGGTATACCCAGATGATCCACGACCAGGGAGACCACAATAGCGCCTCGGTACCTACAGTTTTGACCTTTTTCTGTTGGCTGCCATGAAATCGGCCTTTTTTCAGCTGGCTTCCTAAATAATAACCACGATTGTTCCCACAAAGAAGAGTTAAACAAGTAGGCGCGTTCTGAACGCAAAAGTGTTCTAGTCTACGCACGATTGTTCCACAAGAGTTCAACAAGTAGGCGCGTTCTGAATGCAGAAGTATTCTACACACGAAAACTTCGTCCCGCCTGCCAACAGGAGTACATGGTTACTTAACGAGAGAAGAAACGACACCATACATGGTATGCTGAGCAGCCTTTCCACTGTTAAATGTGGTGCACCTCTATGGTGAGGAGCGTTCAGGCTCCAAGGCACGGCGCCCAGCCAAGAACACACCTCATTGCCCCCTCGCAAATCGAGAAGCGACTTCAACTTTATCTTCTCAGAGACTGAAAAATCCCCTTTTACCCAACCCTTGCTCCCAAAAATGACGTGCCCCGTGCACGTCATAGGCTAGGTGGGGGCGCATTAGCCAAGAAAATCGAGAGACGATCTCCAATTTTCCTCCTCTCGAACCATTGGAGGGGGATTGCACCTACACTATCTCCGTGTTACCTAATGCTTCATTCCCAAATTGCGTACAGGTGCCAGGCTATCGGGGGCGCACCATCAGCTCGCCGATGTCTGTCGTGAAGATGGCCGCACTTTCGTCCCCTACTTTGAGGCGCTCAAGCGAGTCGTGGATTGACTTGGCCATGTCCGTGCTTCCGCATAGTTCGGCTCCCGCTGGAACGGCTCCCTGCAGCAACAAGAGGACGACGGGTGATGTAATGGGTTGGATCCTCGCCCTTTCCATCACGAATGTGCGAAGTGTACCGGATTGCTCGTTGCTGGGCAGGTAGGAGTTTCAAACCATGAGCTACGTACCGACGCGCGCACGGAAGGAATGGACGAAACCATGATATATTGAGGCGTATAATACGGGATTGGATGAGCGATTGGGATACATCACAACGTCACAAAACGTGTAGCACCGGGCAGGCATTCAATTGGGTAGCGAGTGGGTCGAAACAGGGGGTATTCATCAACGCCTTGACTAGACTCTATGCATGTACTGTAATCTTTGGTCCACAGAAAAAAAAACGGACCGCAAAGTGCATGCCGCCCCAGGCACGACTGTCGCCACAGACTTGAGAAATCTCGGACCAGGAAGCGAATTCCAGAGGCGGTGCATCGAAACCCGGGGGCGGAGGACCCGGGGGGAACTGAAGAGCGGGCTCGATCGTGTCATCGCCAAGGAAGTTTTCGATTTGCTTTGCGAACGCCTGGAAATTTGCGAGGAAGACACCGGACAGAGAGGGAGGTGTCTAGGGAGGAAGACAAGCAATCAACCAGTAGTATGACTACATATGTAGGCGTACGCAAATAAATGCATAACCGCGAGTGTCATGTTCTGGAGCTAAGGTGTAGGTTGAGAACAAGAACTGTGTTTCAGTCGGAGTATATATACCATGTCAGTTTCCGTGATTTCAAGGGCTACCCTGTAGGTGCCAATGACAGCAGTGGGTAAACCGATGCTTCAACACCAAAACCATAGAAACGAGACAAGTGCAAACCATGAAATTGGCACCTCGCATAGGCACGACGAGCCCGAAGGGTACTCGGAGTGAGGCATGGTCCTGATGAAAGGCTCCCATTCCGACGCCTTGATAGTTTGGACTCCTTGACCAGGTCCGGCGTAGGCCTCCACCAGTGCATCACCGAGCTTGTGCCTATTGAACATGGCGACGGCGTTTCGTTGGACTCGTTAGATGTATGTTCAACGTTGGTTCCGTGTCGATACCCCAATGTTCACGAATGATTGAAAAAGTAGGAGCGAAACGCCTCTCTGCGGCTGATTTTTCCTCGTGCAACTGGCCCAATCATTGTTCGGGTGAACCACGCGAGCAGGCGGGCCAGAGTACAACATGACGTGCGCCTACAGTCGACTTGCACCGGCATCTTACTCTCCGTACACTTCCGTGTGATGTGGAATGTCCAGGAAAAAAATCTTGGTAGTCTGCATTGCCACGTCGTCGGGTCAGTTAAGACAAGAATAAGTGACGGAGAGCAGCAAAACGATGTACGAGGCAAGGCACGGATCAAACTACATGTGCATCCTGGATGTCTTGACAGTCTGACACATATATGCGATACTGTGCCCATTAACCGTAAAACACCAACCTGCCCAACACCACCGTGCTGATGCTGGTGCCCAAACCCTCTCTACCATAACATGCACACGATGTATCGATGCATTATACATTCGCCACTAAAATTGAGGTTCTGACGACGTTCTCACTTGACCATGGTGGGTGGGCGGGGTCGATCGTGGCGAATCTATCGCAGGCAAGGCATCGGCGGAGCATGTTGGGGCGAGGGGAGCCGTCGGGCGAAGGAAAGATAAGCCAAGCAGGTGCAGGTTAGGTGCATGGTCGCGTTAAATGTTGTTGAAATCTTGACAGTGCCGAATGTCCAAGTTTGTTTCGTGATTTCGTTGGTAGACTATTCTTTTTACCGAACTGCAACAGAACCTTTGGTCCAAGACTCTCACGGTGAGCGATCGGCACCAGGAACTTTATGTGCGAAAGGATTGGGAAACCCCACCCGACCTGGAAACATTTGGAAACCTCGCCATCGGTTCGGATCACCGTACAACGCCCACGAGGCGGACTCTTGCCATTGCTTAACTTCCTATGACTCTTCGCACGGCAAGTGAAACCAATAAACTTTTTCACCATCGTATGATGTCGGATATTCGGATCGACGAGCATACTTCAAGCCTACTCCCGAGGATCGATACATTTCACGGGAGGAAGGGGCTGCTCTCCTCAACGCTGGAGTGTCCTGGCCAAATGAATACACTTGGGAAGAGGGTGGCGCCTGCCATAATGGTTCAAGAAAGTATGGCCCACCTTCTCCTTCCAGGCAAGCAAGATGCCGTTGTAAATGGCAAGCTGAACTTCGAGAGTGACCTGGTAGAAGTCCGTTGCTGTGTAGTCTTCCTGGGTCGTGCTCCTGTTTCGCGGAGCAAAGGACGGCGGCGTGAGAGCTATCGCGAAGCGCCGAACTCTCATTCCCCCTTGTCTAAGGTCGGGTGGAGTCTCAAAAACGTGACGCGGTCGCTCCGGTCC